AAGAGAGAGAGTGTGTATATTCGATATGAATTGAGCGTTGTTTACAATGGAGAAATGGGCTGCTATTTATAGCAGCAATAAATGCTAGATAAGGACACGTGTCAACAATCTGGTGGTCGAGGAGTCACCTCAATCGGGGTGGCACCAACATTTGCATGTGGTCGCATTAAATGAGACGGTTGGATGTGATGTTGTACTTGATACGGTGATTCAGGCGCATGTGGAGAGGATATTCTGTCGAGGGAAGTGCCTTCGGCTGAAGGGTGTTGGCCGAAGGCTCTTCTAACTGGGGGCCTCCCAATACCGGGGGCTGCATATGCTGAAGGCATGGTTTTCAAGTCTTGTTCTCCTGTGATGTTTCTGAGCTCAACTCTGTGAATGGGAGCCTTCGGTCATGGGGCCGAAGGCATCCCCTTACGTATTGTGGGATGCTTAGAGCTTCTTTTTGCTGGGCTTGGCCAGTTTGGGCCTGTTGGGCCTGACTGTAGTTGTGGAAGTATGTGGGTCGGGGTTCCCTGGGCCATATACTCCATCAACGCTCATAAACATCAATGAACGAACCAATAGTGTTCCCAATACCACGTACAACTTTCTCTGTCATAAATCCTTGAGGTAGGTTATAGACCTGAACCCAGAAATCAACACTATCTAGTGCCACCTCATATGGCCTATTCGTCTGCCCTAAACGGCGTATTACTACCAAATTTTGTTTGAAGTTCCATGGTCCGTCCTGAAGAACCTGATTGATATCCCCTTCATGGTAGAATTGAAGCAGAAATTTTGAGTCCCCCATTTTATCAATTGAAACACCTTTGACGGGCCTCCAGACCATAGCCATGGTTGCACGAAACGCAAAGGGATGGATAGATTTGTCCGTCACAATACTCGCCACCGCCAAGAAACGTGGCACTGCCCTCACTCCCTCTCCTCCCATAGCATCACTGTTAAAAACCAACCCCCTATCCTCTTCTTCCTCTATAGTCATTCCACTGTGACCCTTGATCAATAATTCCTTGATCATGCCATCATGTATACAGTAACAATCACAAAGGCACCAAAGCTTCCTATAGGAATGTTCGAAGCACTCCAGAAACTCAAGAAGGAAATATAGCCTCTCCTTTCCAGAAATAACAATAGATAAAACAAACAAAAGCTAAAAGTAAAAATTTTAAATAGCACATTGTCACATTTTTTCCCATCATTTCATTCTGTATGCCTAATCTTACTAATTCACCAAGACTTTTTTGAAAGAAAGTAGATAATTATTGTACTGTGAATAGTATTCTATGAGCAATGGTTGTCTTTGCGTATACTACGTATAATTACAAGGTTTTAGATAAAACCATAAAACATTTTGCAACATTTAAAAATTTTGAAATAGATTGTTAGTGTCACCATATGTCTATATTCTTTTTCATAATCTTGAAGAGCACCTTCAATTATTTTAGGACACTTAATCAATTTGTCATGTTTCAACGGATTAAAGTTTAATTTATTTCTTGAGCTCAACAAAATTCCAAAAATACTAATTTCACCTTATATAGTCTACTTTGCAAGTTTGCAATAAAAACATCATCCATCATATACTAGTCTAGGTTTTGTCGATAAAATTCCACTCGCGTTGCTTTGCATGGTTGGTGTCTTCATTTCCGCTCAGTTGGTGGTAAATGATGATATTAGTATTGCTTTGCTATTTTGTGGAGAAAAGTGTTACTTTAGTATATTAACTTGTATCAAATGGAGTAAAGAGTACATACATTGTTTATTATTAGAAAAACCAGTCATAAGAGATAAATAGGAACATTAACGAATGAAGAAGAAGAGTGGAGAAAGAGATATGTTTGCAGCTGATAAATGAATGAAATACGAAGGGAAGAGACTAAGATGTGGGGTTGACCTGGAATCCAGTGTTATAAAAAACGAATAGTTGGCAAATTATATCCTACATCCGGGTGTATGTGTACACCCGGTAATTTTGTAATTGTTTGTTACATTGAGGCTAATAATTAGGGTATCCCAACTGTCTTCTCATTTCTTCCGATGCATCATCCGTTTCCATTTTTGTTTTTTCTTTCTATGTTTCTTCATTATACTGTATACGTAGTATATATGTATATACGTAACTTTTCTTTTGTCCACTTCTACTTTTGAGCTCCTACTTTTTTAGTGCCTTTTATTATTATTATTATGTATGTTTTTTATTATTTATTTTTCTTTATTTTCATGCAATTATTTCAAAAAAGTATATAAATTTATTGAATGATAATTCAATAAAACATCCGTTTTTCTCACTTTTCCCTAAAAGCTCCAATCTTCTAAATAACTATGAGTATATTATTTAAATTTAATGTGTATTAATGAGATTTTATAAAATAAACACAATAAAATTGTTAGGTCTAGAATATGGCTGGGAATTATAAATTACTTTTCTTGCTAAAATTGTTATATTTCATGACGTAGGTAAAAACAATCAATAATTGAGTAAATCTAGTTGGTTTGCCTGGAATATATCATGTGTGTGAATGATATAAATGAATTTTATGTTATGGATAAGTGAGTATAATGTTTAAAACAAATGTGCATTAAAAGAATATAATTATGAGTATTGTGCTTAAAAGAAACGTGCATTGATGTGACATCATAAAATGATCAAAGTAAAATTGGTTAATGTAATCTCCTCAAAATATTTACATATTTATAACAAAGTACTTCATCCATCTCGCTAAGATAGTCTCATCTTTCTATTTGATTCGTCCCACTAAATTTGTCAAATACCAAGTTTAATAAAATTTGTGTGATTTCAAATCATTTCTATTTTACTCTTACTTGATCATTTTAATAACACTCACAATGAACTCACTTTTTCTTAATAATCATACTACTTGCTCATGTTCCAAAGTTATTGGGACAGACGTAGTGGAAAACATGGCTAGTTGACCTAGTTCTATCAATAGGAATGAGTTTAGTGTGTGTGAATAATTAAAATGAGTTTATTGGTATACTAAAATGAGTATATTGCTTATAATAAATCTATATGAGTGAATCATATTAAAAATGAGTTTTATTTTAAACTCAAATAAGTAAAGCGTTTAAAAAGATTGAACATATATATACAAATGAGCTTTTCAATTTTTGAAACTCATTTTTAAGTTATGTTTGTCCATTTAGTACTTTTGTTGTGCTCATTTTAAAATGTTTATCAATGCATGTTTCAAAAGTCTCATATTACATTAGATTCACATAAAATTTGATTATAGACACGAGACTACAAATCATGATACTCAATCGCACGATTCTAATACTCAATAACGGAGGTTCGATGCTCACTGAAAATGTCTTGATGGTCAATGAAAAAAACGTATAATTTTCATATCAATACTCATCTTGTAAGTTACATATGCTCATTTGTATATGTCTGATGCTCATTAAAAAAACATTAATGCCCACTTAACATAAATCATGATTTCAATCGATCTCAATAGAGAATGTTTGATGCTCAATGAAAATGTGTAATGTTCAACTACCAAAACTTACGATTTTCATATCAATTCGCATTTTGTAAGTTACGTATGCTCGTCTCGTATATATTGATCTTATGCTCATTTTGTAAAGGTCATATCAATGCATTTTTAAAAGTACTATTCTACATTAGATTCACATATTGAAATTCATAGGAGTTGATTATAAATATAATGTAATAAGTTTTTGTAGAAGTTATGAAACAGAGATCACGATTCTGAATATTAGACTCCTAATACTCAACATAATAGGTTTATTGCTCATTAACAGTTCATTAATGCTCATTCACCAGAAATCGTGATTTTCATGTCAATAGCGGATGTTTGATGCTCAATTAAAATGTCGTGATGTTCAGCTAACAAACCTTACGATTTTCATATCAATGTGCACTTTGTAAGTTATGTATGCTCATTTGGTAGTGATGTTATTCTTATTTTTTAATTGTTATATCAATGCATATTTCAAAAGTATCATATTAAATTAGACTCGCATATTGAAATTAATTGGAGTGTATTATAGATATAATTTAATAAGTTTTTATAATAGAAAAAATATGAAAAAGGAAAAAAGAAGAAGATATGAAGCAGGGGTCGTGATAATCATTGTTAGTCTCTTAAATACTCAATAAAATAGGTCTGGTGCTCATTAAAAATACACTATTGCTCATTTAGCGGAAGCCGTGATTTTTCGCTTAAATTACAAAAATGCCACCGAATTCTTTTTTGCCTGTATCAGCTATTGGGCTGTCTTCCTTAGTTGGGTCGGGTGTACGTACACCCAGATGTACCATATAGGCACTCCGAATAGTTTGGCCACGTAAGTTGTTTTTAACGTTAACATGACAGAAGTACCATATTCATGAATTTGGATCCTCTCCATTATGAGAGATATAGAGAGGAGAAAATGAAGGGTGAAATATGTTGGTGAATAAAATAGAGAAAAAGGTAGAGATAAATCCATAGGAAGTAAAAAGGAAATGGGGGAAAATGGAGATGAAGTGCACCCTTATCCATACCAAATAACATGCACCCTTATCCATACCAAATAACCAAGAATAAGTACTTCGAAATTTCTAATAAGGAGTAATAGTTAGGGTACTCTTTACTCCCATGGATACAAACTCATGTACTAAATCGACACTTTTCTCTTATTTTGTGTATCTATGGAGTAAAGAGTCATATACGAGTGTTTGTGTGTGCATACGAAGTATATATAAAAAAGTGATGACACCTCAAGACTCCAAAATTGATCGAACAATTATTTGAAATGATGTAAATTGAGATTTGATCACATTCTACACAAGAAACCAAAATATCTCTCATACACTTTTTCTATCAAGTGAGCTAGAGAGGAGTCCGTTTGGTAACACTAAAATCAGCTGAATTGGATGATCCTTTTGAAATTTATGAAATTCTCGCTTAAGTGGTCGTATCGATCGATTATGGTGATTTATGAAAAAATTAAATACAAACCAAAATGAATTATAGCATAACAAATAGATTTCATTAAAGAAATACGTAATAGTTTGAGTATCAATTCAATATTTTTATACAACAAAAGTGTTGAAAATCAATATGAGATGACCTTAATAACTGCATGATCATTGCTTCAGCAGATGCTTGATGAAACTATCTATACTCACATGAGATGAACCAGTTGGAAACAGAGCAGCATCTTCAGCCATCTTCTTCCATTCCATGGCCTTCTTCTTCATCTCCCTCCCCTTCTCCCCTTCCATCAACTCCCTCACAAGCCTCTCAACCTTCTCCCTCTTCACATCCCCATCAATCTCCATCCCGATCCCCCACTCCGTGCAAGCCATCCGGCAGTTCGTCGGCTGCTCTGCAAAAAACGGCCAGCAGAGCATCGGCACGCCGTTGCAGATGCTCTCCACCGTCGAGTTCCAGCCGCTGTGGGTCAAGAACCCGCCGACGGAGGGATGGGTCAGCACCCTTTCCTGCGGGCACCAGCTCGCGAGCATCCCCATGTGCCTCGTCTCTTCCACGAACTCCGGCGGGAGCATCGCGCCGTCGCCGGAGACCAGATCCGGCCGGACGATCCAGAGGAAGGGTTTGTTGGAATTGGCCAATCCCCACGCGAATTCGACCAGCTGGGCGGCGGTCATCACCGTTATGCTCCCGAAATTGACGTAGACGGTGGAGCTCGGCGGCTTCGTGTCCAGCCAGTCCAGGCAGGCAGAATCCTCTTTCCAGAGGTTGGTGGAGAGCGATTTGACGGTTTTGTCCTCGACCTGGTTTTCCAGGAACTGTAATGGGCCGATGGCGTGGACGGGCGGAAGCATGGATCGGAGGGCGAGTAAAGATTGGTGCTCTAATGCGTCGAAGGTGTTGACGACGATGGCGGAGGCGTGTTTGGCTCTCTCTGTTTCTTGGAGGAAATATTGGAGCATGAATTCGTCTGGGTTTGTGGTTCTTATGAAGCTCGGAAGATCTCTCAGTCGTATTCCTTCCATCCCCTCCAGGCAATCCAACTCCTTCTCCAGATGGCCATTTGTCAAGGAACTCTCGTCTGTAACATATTTTGTTCAGTTATAACTGTAGGGAGCCTTTGCAAACCTTTTGCTTTGAAAAATGATTTTATATAACACTATCAAACTTTTTCTTTTTAAAATCATTGTCTCAAACACTAATAACTTTTTTCCAAAATCACTTTAATATGCTTTTTAAAAATAAAAAACATTTGCAAACACTCTTTAAGTAGCTTTTGAAAGAAAGTATCTTACAATTTAGCAATAATTTGTTGCAATATGTTGTTATACGTAGTACTCCCTTCGTCCCGAATTGAATTACAAACTTTGACCGGCACAACGATTAAGAAATGAAAATAAATGATATTTGCTTTTTACACTTTTGCCCATCTTTTTAAAAGTAAATGCCTTTAAGTTAATGGGGAAAAAGTAAAAGTAAGGGTAAGTCTGTCACTTTATTCTTATGTACATACCTAAAATAGAAATTGAAAAATCATTTTGGGACAACCAAAAAATGAAATTTTGCAAATCAAATTGAGACGGAGGGAGTACTAAATATGACTACAGTTTTTATTAAATAGTACTACTTAAGATTTTCTCTTTTTGACAAAAATCAATTACTAGTAGTTAGCACTTAGCAGGTAGTAAAAAAGTCAAAAAAAACAAAAACATAATTCCCAGTACTTATGTGAGTAATGTCAAACATGCATTCACAGTTTCACACATACTACGCGTATAAGTATATTTCGAATTACTCAAAATTTAAGGGAAAATTCCCGAAATAGGAGTAAAAAAGTTTTAAAATTTCAAAATAGGAGCGTCATGTTTTTACTCTCCAAATAACAATAATTACTGTCAAGTTTAGAAAATACTCCTATTTTGGATAATTTGTCAAGATTTAATTATATGTGAATTTAGATCTCTACAATTATTATTTTTTGAAATATCAATATCCAATTGGGAATCGAACATTCTACCTCCTCTTTTAGAGATCAACATTAATGTTATCATACCGCGAGATATACACTCGATTAAGATCTGAGATTCTATCCAAAAAATCAATCTGATAGAATGAATAACACATACTATGTATCTTAATATAACACTTTATTACATAATTTTCAGGTGTAAGATTTCAACACCCCCTCCTCACGATCAGATATTTCGTGTGAATTATGTCTGTCATTCATTTTTCTCATCGATTCGGCATTGTCATTTTTACCCTTATACTTATGAGAATAAATTTTATAGAGATCAACGATAATGTTATCATATCACAATGTACTTGAACACTTGGCAACTAGGAGGGTTATAAATGACATATTTTCACGAGGTCATATTTAGAGCAAATTCTCATCAGTTCCAGTTCCACAGGTATATGGAAAGAACAAATATTGTAGTATCATTGAAGTTTACCAATATAAGTGAATTATCATAGTTTTATTTATCCGATGACTTTTAAACTCTTACGATGGAATTTAATGTTATTAGGCTACCTGAATCAACGACTTTTACAGCAATAAATAAATGGCGACTACATGTCTGCATCACACTACTGTTCAGACCAATGATGGAATCAATAAAAAACAATAATTCCACAATTTAAATTTCACAATTTAAATGTTTTATTTGATCATGATATTGAGAGTATTGATAAATACTCTATAACATACCAAACAAACATATTGGAATTTAAGATAATATTGTCCATAGGTTTGACTTTTTCAAGAGCAATACCTTTGAGGGGTATGTAACCCTGGTCAACTAGTTGGGCATAGTGCATATAACCCAAGAAGCCACAAGCGCTAGGCGTCCAGAAAAGAACCTCCGGGATCCCCAGCTGATCGGCGGCGGCCAAGGTGAAGCTCATGACGCCATCGGAAACAACGCACGACACCGGCGGTGCGCTGGTATCGGCGGCAGCGGTGTCATTGAGCCTTCCCAGAAGCTCCATAAAAGGAACCAAACAGGTCGTAGCAGTTGACTCACAGAGGGAGGGGATGTCTTGGGTGGCATCCGCGTCGGACGGAGGAAGACCGTCAGGGATCGTCTCAAACCGGAAGGACGGGAGGCCCCGGAGGGACTCCGGTCCCCGGGATTTGAGTAACCGCCGGTGGTTGAACTCTGTGTTGACAAAGGTGATGTGGAAGCCTTTGTGGTGGAGGATTTTGGCCAGTTTTAGCATTGGGTTTATATGGCCTTGGGCAGGGTATGGCACACATACTGCATGGGGCTTGGGGACTTCATTGCTAATACCTCCCATTTTCTTTTGTTACTCACTTGACACTTCCTCTGTTTAGCAGAAGTTGTGTGAGAGTTATTTTATTGCTTTGAAGTGAGGGGATGGGATTCATGGGGGCTGAATTGTGGAAAGGTATTCTCCCATTTATATTGCAAAAATAATGAAAATATTTTATTCCATCTCTTGCTCCTGAAAGTCTGTAAAGTACTTTACATTTGCTTTTGACATATTGTTTAAAAAATTTAAATTTTGTCAAAGAAAGTTACAATGTACTTCCTCCTTTCTTTTTTTAATTGGAACAATTCACTTTTTACAATTGCAAATGCACAAATTTGACCATTAAATTCAGATTTTGAAAATTTGAGTTTAATAAATTCAAATTTTGAAAATTTAAAATGAAACGAATTTAAAAATATTTTTTAAAAAATTTAATGTATAATAAATCAATAAATAAAATATAATCAAAGTAGAATATGTGAATAGTGTAAAAAAGTCCAAAGTTGCAATTAAAAAAAAAATGGAGGTAATATTTATTTGTGTGTTTTTTGAGTCGGATCGTCCGTGTTTAATAACTAATTCTAGATGGCCCATTATAAAAAACCATCCATTAAGGAAAAAACCCTAACGGAGGGACAGGCTAGGACCATCGCCTAGATTGAAAGATCGATTGCGGTGAGGCATGTAACAACGGCCCTGGATTGCTCTCCAGTGTCAGTTTCACGGCGGCGGCGGTCCTAGCAAGTCTAGGTTTTTGGCGAGCGGCGCTATAGCTTTCTTGGCGCTTCAGTGTCCTGGAGATTTGCTAGATTTCCTCATCTGGAGCATAGGGTGGGGCGTGGGAGCATTCGAGATCGGAGGGTCTTGGCGAATCTCAATTGTAGTACAAGGGAAATGAAAGGGATCCGGAGACTGTTCACGTTTGGACTGGTTGTGCTCGTGTGGTATGTTGGCTAAGAGATGGAGGCGAATCACGAGCAAATTAGGGTGTTGAAGGAAGAAGATGAAGGGATGAAGATCCGCCCCCCTCCTCAATCGCCACCATGCTGGAAATGGGTGATTAGAGGTCAGAACACCACGCTGGAAGATTGGGTTCAGCGGCTCAATAAGTTCATCCTGTTTAAATTAATTGTCCCCATTTTTAGTTTGTTTTTGAAGAAATTCATTGCTATCGTTTGCTTGTGGTATTTTCTTATGGTAATAGGTTTTTTACATTGATCGAGGGTTCGGCTAGATTTGATATTGTTAGTGGAAGACCGATCTATTTTTTCAGCAATAGCTGCATAAAGCCCGTCAGGTGGTTAGCGATTCGTATTGCTCCTTTAGAGGTGGTCATGTCTATGTCTAATCGTAGGGCTAAAAGTAGTAGTTGGAAGGTGAATGTTGTTGTCAGTTCTGGTCATTTTAAGATTGTTGTAACGATTCTGATTTTAATGAATGATATCAATATAGTCGTTTTATTTTCAAAAAAAAACTATTTCTAGATTTCTGGGCTGCTAAGAATCCGTAGTAAACCTTCATAAAAGAAAATTTGAGTAGCTTGGATCATTCAAAGTACGTACAAAATGTGTGACCACTAGAATTAGCCTTGAGGCTAGAGATTATCATGGGAGGAAAGCCTTTCAAATTGGACTGACTTGAATTCAAGACCTCTCATAAGAAGAAGATCTTGAGTCTGGGAACTTGGACCACTCCGACTCACGGGTGAACATGGTCTAGATCGGGATCTATAGATTTTCGAATCAAGACCAGAAATTAAGGTTTTGGGTCAGATAGAAACCAGACCAATGGGAAAGAGATCCATAGAAATCTGACCAATGGGAAAGAGATCCCTTGGCCTCATGTTTTGAGGTCAGGGCCGGACTTGTTCACTTGAAAATTAGAAAACATTTTATAAGAGTTGGAGTCCATTTAAAAACTAAAAAGAGATGAGAGGGTAGCATGTCTGTTGAAAGGAAACGCTAAACTATAATCCACCAATTATCTTTTATTAGACACCATCTAAACTTAAGAAAAGTCATACGATCAGACCCTGAGACATCCATCTCTAAAGAAACCGTGCGAATTGATGGCCACTAAACAAACATCTTAGAGTTTATCCTGACCCTTAAGATTACCGTACTCTTTACCACTTCAACAAACTCAAAATAGCCAAAAATTCCTTTCAAACCCTGATTAGATATAGAAAAGTTCATCCACAGAAACTTTTCGCTGAATATACGGAAGTCTCAAGATAAATAACGGTCATAAGCACCTTAACAAAATCACAAACACAAGCAAACAAAACCCAATTAAAAGGTCTAAAGAAGCATAAATAAAGCTAGAAAGAAAAATACAGAAATAAACCGTTTGCGGCCAACTCCAAACATAAAACGCCATCTTCCAACCCCTAGCCGCACAGTCCTTTCATGGCAGCAGTTTAGGAGGGTGGCGGATTGATAATACACCATCTCCGTGCAAAATTTGATGTGGTCACATCTTGCTGTATTTTATTCCTGTTGAAGTTTATTCATTCAATCCGTAGGCCCAACACACGACTCAAGGGTTTCGAATGGAGAATAAGGTGAAACAGATGAAGAAACAAGCAAGGAAGGCCTAATAAGAATTCTTATTATACTGAAGGGGTTACAAGGCCGAGAGATCGTTCGTGTTCCTCTATGCTACGAGCTGTTATAATGCTATAATATTAGAGTGCTCAGTTGCCGACCCGTTACAATGAAATAAATGCTACTATTTATACCGCCAATGAGTAGTTAGATGCGTTGAACCTATATGTGGATGACTTGATCCAACCACCAAATCGTCTGCATTAAATGTGCAACCACCAAATCTTCTGTATTAAATGTAGAATCCCACCAGGATCTTGGCTTTCCGGTGGAGACGTTCGTCCCCATGAGCTTGTCTCCTGTTTCCTGCTGGACCCAAAGTCATGCAAGACATGCGTCTCGTGCT